CTGGTCCTGGTCCTGGTCCTGGCCCGGTTCGGTCTGATGCTGCTGATCAGCAGGAGGACTACAGCTGACAGGAGGGAGGGGCGGGGTGAACGGCACACCGCACAGGATTATGGGATTGTAGTTCTTAAAGGCGCCACCACGTGACTCTTCATGACGAGGACGGCAGCCATGTTGTTCAGGGCAAGAACACCTGTTGTTTACCTGCTGGTGCTGAATGTGGTCATCATGTTCAGTTTAACTCTGTACATCAATAAAACTTAACTAATGACAATCATTAGTTTTGATTTGATAGAAATGTTTCCCACTATATGTTGTTGTATCAGGTAAAACATTTAGTTTATTTTTTTATAAAAACAATGCACAATACAAAACTGATATAAAAGGTTTTACATTTTTTTGCATTCACTTAATGCAATAAGAACAATTAAGAGAAGAATAATATACTAGAAAAAAAACAACATAAAAAGTATCAAGTAAAAACATATTGTCAAAGTACACATGTTTGTAATGAATGATGTTTCTAATAGGAACTAACAGAAACTAACAAATAAAAAAACTCATATTTATGTGTAATTCTATGTGGAAATGTAACTATGAAAACCTGTTTACACTGACAGCCCACCTGTTCCTGTTTACACTGACAGCCCACCTCTTCCTGTTAACACTGACAGCCCACCTCTTCCTGTTTACACTGACAGCCAACCTCTTCCTGACAGCCCACCTCTTCCTGTTAACACTGACAGCCCACCTCTTCCTGTTTACACTGACAGCCCACCTCTTCCTGTTAACACTGACAGCCCACCCCTTCCTGTTCACACTGACAGCCCACCTCTTCCTGTTAACACTGACAGCCCACCTCTTCCTGTTTACATTGACAGCCCACCTCTTCCTGTTTACACTGACAGCCCACTGCTTCCTGTTTACACTGACAGCCCACCTCTTCCTGTTAACACTGACAGCCCACCTCTTCCTGTTAACACTGACAGCCCACCTCTTCCTGTTTACACTGACAGCCCACCTCTTCC